TGAACATTAAGCTTTATAAACAGATGAAAATTAAACTTAATAATAAATGTAAGGGACAAGCAGTCAGTCCGACTCTCTTTCCTACACAACCCAGTCATTAAAACAGCGAGTAAGAGCCTGAAAAGTGACAGTGCCAAATATCCTTGGACCCAATAATCCTAACTCATGTACCTTCCCCATAGAGTCTCAGCGCTCAGGCACATCACAGGGCCAGCATCCTGTTTCCTCGGTCGCTCGCTCACTTGCCATTCCGTCCAGTTTCAGCGTGTCTCATACGTACTGTGTCCCGCCATGGATGTGAATGCCAGAGGTTGTGTTGGAAGAGAACCATGTTAGCCCTAGTGTGACAGGAAGGAGAGCAAGTGTGATCAGTCCCTAGTGTGATCAGTTCCTAGTGTGAGCAGTCCCTAGTGTGAGCATTCCTAAACAGAAGAGGAGAAAGACCAGACGTTGTGCCGTTACATTACTGATTTTTAAAAATATGCATATTGTTATGATCATCTGGACCAACCACTTGTCAGGAAGCGAGGTGAGGCTTACTGATCCCACTCTCTCACTTCTGCACGTGCGTACAGCCCACTTTTGAGCTCATGGCACGAGAGAAAAATAACAAAGAACGAGTGTGCGAGAGGGAAGAGTGTGTGAGATCAACATGAGATGGGTGAATGAGATTCAAGCAAAAGTGTGGATAAGTAAAGAGATAATGGAAAGGTAAAATAGAGAGTCAGAGAATTGGAGAATATACAGAAGTGGTAGACGAAGAGGAGAAAAGTAAGTAAAGATGAGAGAAAGGAGGGAGGGGCAATTCGCTGAGCGAAATACAGTGGATGTGAGATAAATAAAACGAGAAGACTCAGAAAGAAACAGGCACGACATGAGATGTAAAGGATTTTGGGACTTGGAATTCATATAGTCGAAGTAGACATTCCAACAACTTGCATTTATATAAGCACCCTCCACGCAGGGTGGCATCTCAGAGTGCTTAATACTAGTGGAGTCTGACTCCGAGCTGGGAAGGGTGGGGGAGGTGACCGTAAGCTTGGTCAAAAAGGTTGGTTTTCAGGTGGGACTTGAAAAAGGGGAGAGAGAGGGCAAGACAGAGGGATTGAGGGAGAGTTTTCCATAGTTTCAGGGGGTAGTGGCTGAAAGCGTGACCTCCAATGGTGGAGCAGTGGGTGCATGGGACAAGCAAGTGGCCGATGCCAGTCAAGTAAAGATGCCAGGTGGTGGATTGGAGAGTCAGGAGGTCAGAGAAGTAGAGAGGTGCCAGGGAGTGATTGGATTTGAACATAAGTGTGAGAATCTTGAAGTCGATCCATTTGGTGATGGGGGGCCAGTGCAGCCTGGGCCAGAACTGGTGAGATGAGGGTACGGAGTTTGGTCTGGGTAAGAATGCAGGAAGCAGAGCTCTGAATGAATTGGATTTTTTGAATAGTGGAGCTGTGGAGACCAGGCAAGGAGTGCATTTGAGTAATCCAGGCAGGAGGTAACAAATGCATGCACAAGGGTTTTGGCTGCTTTTGGGGTAAGGTACATTCAGAGGCATGCAATGTGGCAGAGGTTGAGGAAGGCAGTCCTGGTCAGAGACCAGATGTGGGTGAGGAAGGACAGCTCAGGGTTGAACCGGTTGAACCGGATACCTAAATTGCGCACTGGTTCGGTGAGTTTGAGAGAGAGCCCAGGGAGGTTGATGAGTTTAGATCTGCAGGAGTGAAGACGTTAACAGGAGCCAAGGAGTATGGCTTCCGTCTTGTCCACTTTCAGCAGCAGGAAGTTTGCAGTCATCCAGACAAGCTGATAGATCATCGGCGGGCCTGGAGTCGATGCTGGAGGAGGCATAGTACAGTGCTTGGTGTGTACTGCATTCTTAGAGGTGCTATCCTTCATAGATACGTTAAAGCAAGGTCCATCTGCCATACAAGGTGAATGTCATAGATCCCATGGCACTATTCCAAAAGAGAATTATAGAATTATACAGCACAGAAGGAGGCCATTTGGCCTATTATGTCTGTGCCAGCTCTTTGAAAAGAGCTATCCAATTCAATCCCACTCCCCCGCTCTCTCTCCCCAAAGCTCTGCAACCTTGTCCTCCCCAAATATCTACTGCTCTCTTAAAACTGTTATCGAATTGGCTTAATAATAATCCTAATAATAATAGCCTAATAATAATCCCTCCAAAAAAAAAACAATAATAAATTGGTCATTTTCAATCTACGACTCTTTGTGGGACATTGCTGTGTGCAATTGGCTGCCGTGTTCGCCCACAAATATACAGTCAATTCACTTTACAGTGTGTTCTGTGAAGTGCTTTGGGACGTCCTCCCGACGTGAAAAGCGCTATATCAAATGCAAGGATTATTATTATTATTACAATTGTGAAATGAACCACTAGACATAGTGTTGTGAAATTGACCGAGAAACTGCCTTGAATGCATTAGGGTTGATTGTTCCTACAAATATCATCTCTATAACCTCTCTGTTTCTTGGGCTTTCATTCATGCTTACTGGGAAGCAAGTGTTAACTCTTCCAAATCCATGTCATGTTAGACGGATTGTTAGCAGAGAGAAAATCTTGTTCTCTTGATTTTTATCTAGATTTAGATTCAGACTCATATTTTTCAGGGAAACTGAGGCCATTTCAACTACTCTACTCATGTCTGCATATAAGCATTATTCTGTATAGACAGAACAGAAATTACAAACTGTGGAGACACCTTATATACATAGTAATATTTGACCAGAAGTTACATATTTATCACTCATTTAAGTTTATAGGCACTGAGTTTATTTTTAACATAAATTTCCTTAAACTTTCAGCTGCTATAAGATAGAATATGATCCAGTTGACAGCACATTCTTACCCTGAATTGGAAGAGTAATACAACTCCTTAATTTTACTAAACCATCTGAGTACATGATCATATTTGTGAGCAACATATTCACCATATTAACTTGTGCTTCTACAAATCAGTAATATAAATATATAATAGTACAACAATAACAACTTACACTTATATAGCGCCTTTCAAGTAGCAAAATACCTCAAAGCAGTTGGCAGAGACGAAGCATGGACTTCAGCGAGGTAGAAGATAGGAAGGGTATATCGAATTCAAGATCCTCACCCTCACCTACAAGGCCATTCACGGCCTCGCTCCCACCGACCTCTCCGACCTACTATCCCCCTACCTACCTGCCCGTACCCTCCGTTCCTCTGGCTCCACTCTGCTCCACATCCCTATCCCCAACCGCCCTACCATCGGTGGCCGGGCCTTCAGCCTCTCAGCCCCGAGGCTCTGGAACTCCATCCCCCAGTGCCTTCGCCGCTTCCTCCCTTTCCTCCTTCAAGGCCGGTCTCAAGACCTTTCTCTTTGACCGTGCCTTCAGCTCCTCTCTCGACTCTCTACCCCCTCCTCGACCCTTCCCTTCCCTCCCCTCACCCTGACCATTTCCCACCTCCTCGCTCCCTCCCTTCCCTCCCCTCACCCTGACCATTTCCCCCCTGCTCAGGTCCTGACCCAACTGTCCAGCGCTTTGGGACGTCCTCCCGACGTGAAAGATGCTCTATAAATGGAATCTTGTTGTTGTTGTTGTTGTGAATGGCTACCTTCTGTTTAAAAGGAGGGAGTATTAGGAGGGAGGTGACCAAAGGTGGAATTGGGGAAAGGCTTTGAAAGTAGAGAGGGAGTGTGGAAGCCAGAATAATTTTAGGAGAGATTTTCAGAGAGTGGAGCAAAGAGGTAGAAATCGTATTCACTAATGCTGAGGTGGAAGGAGTGGAGTACATGGAACAGGTCTGCGTTGAAGACTGGAGAGAGTAGACAGAGGATTAGGATTTCAGGAGGTCAAAGAGGTGATGATGGGAATGATGGACGCGAGGAGCCTGGTATTGAAAAGTAAAAAGTAAAAGCTACAGAATTCTGAAAAATTTGATGATAGGATCTTTTACATTACAAGAGTACAAAAATGAAGTTCAGAGGTGATAAAATGATGGATGCGGGTTGGGGCTTCGTTGTTGTGAGGTAGAGACAGAAGCAGGTAATATTCTGGAGGTGGATATAAACAGACTTGATCAGTGATTGGATGAATGGACTAAAGGAGAGCGTGATATAGTCAGAGTCAAAAGTGAGTAGGTGCTAGAGAGAAGATGGCTTCAGTTTTGTGGAAATTAAGCTGAAGGAAGTTTAAGACTTATTCAGAACAGTGTATCTAACTGGACAGCAGTTTGCAACGGGGCAATAGAAAAAGATCAGCATAATGTATCCCAGCTGTTTTAAACAGAAGGTGGCCATTCACATCACTATTCAAAGGAGATGAAAATTCTCTTGAGTGCAAAGGTTGGAAGCCCAGTAAAGAACGTCTGACAAGCCAAGCAATTAACTGTTAGGTTTGATAGCAGATAATTAAGTTCGCGTAATGTGTTCACATTGTACTCTTAAAGTTATCTCCTTTTGGAATTACAATGGCTGCTTTGGAAAAACCTTCAAATCTTCTCAGAAATATGATAACAAGCAACAAAAGAATGGCTTGAACGATGATAAAGATGAAGAGTCCAATCTGGCAAATCAGAGCAACTGTACAGTACCAGTTCTGGCAGGTGGAGACAATCTCATCTTCCGTTAGATACAAGATCCGTCTATCACGAAGCTCAACTGGCAGATAACACATTATATTCTTATCCTGCAAATTTCTGTCTTGATTAAGGAGCCAGGATCTCAGGTACAATATATTACAATCACAAACCCATGGGTTATTGTCCAGTGAAATCGACCTCAGGCTTTGCAGGTTGTCAAACAGTCCATTGGGGATCGAGAATAACTTGTTGTTTTTCAGATGGATCTGTGTTGTGGTGGCAGCGAAGCTCTTGGGGAGAGTGCTGAGGTTTAGCATTTGTCCACTGCAGTCAACAACGGTGCCAGAACAATTGCAATGTTCCAAGCACCGGAATGCAGCCATTGGGATCAGAGAGAGGATGAGGAACATACTTTGTGGTCTGGTCATCATCTGGAACATAGTTAGCTGTCTGCAAAATTAAAACATCTAACGTAATTAAGTGTAACCTTGGAGGAAACTATTTGTAAAGCGCGGACAACCCTACCCATTAGGGGCTTTGATTTATAGGGTTAAAGACGTGTCCAATCGAATTGGAAAGGCAAACGGGTTGGTCAATCAAATTGTAACAAAGTTGGGCAATTATGTCAGGTGTATCTGATTGAAGCCAATTCGACCCTTCCCAAAAGGGATTTTTATATGGGGAGAAGGGGTATTCAAAGTATCCATGGAAAGGTTGTGACTTCCAAGTTTATGGTCAATCCTGATGCAGTGCGTAAGCAAGATTATGAGAGAAAAAGTAGTAATTGTAAAGTGAGGTATGAAGGCGGCAGCTATCTTGAGGTATTAATAAGGGAACTGAATGTTTGTCTTGAATAACGAATCTCCTTCAAAAATATGCCAGCAAATTCACAGTGATATAAAGCACTCAAATTTTAACAGGGAACTGTCACTTCCAAAGAGCACTTCTTTAAACAATTCATAGTTAATTATTGTCAAATGTAGTGACTACTTTGGAAGCCAGCAATATCAAGTGCTGGATGTCCTCCCGGTGTAAAAGGCGCTATATACATTAAATGTAAAATGTTATTGTACTTTTGTAGGTAAACACGAGCAGCTATTTGCGCTCGCAAGATCCTATTAACTGCCATGAGGTGAGTAACCAATTATTTTCCCTATAATCTCAGATCTTCACAGTCAAAATATAAACAGAGACCGAAGAAACAGAGTGCTGACAGGAATTTAGTCTAAAGATCTGCGCGTTATTAGTCCCTGCCTGCAAATATGAATGTACAAAGAGGAGAAGAGAAAGAGTAAAGAAATTAAAAGAAGAGTTGTTTTACCGAGAGAAACCACTTACCAGTACATGCCACCCCCTATTTATTTTGCAAAACTCATCATTCCCAAACTCATATACTTTCTGTATGGGTCATGTGCATGTCCGATGATTCACTGATACATTGATTTTAATGGGTACCCGAACCCCGGGCTGGTGAACGAGTTATCATTATATTGATTCACACATAACCCAGTTTCGAAATCTTAAATGTTTATACCAATTCACTTAGGGGATACTTTTTTCCCTTTTACCCTGATTGCCAATAAGTCAGAATTAATGAGAAACCCCAAGTAGTATCACAAACTATCATCTGCAACGCGGCTAAAACAAAACTCCATCTATCGTAATGACATGTCTCCTTTACCTTTAAATGTCCTCCGGAGTGTGTGAATGCGCTTCACAATGAACGTTCTTCGTATCTGTTTAAATAAAAATGAAACCGAGTTTATATTGTGGAAAATTACATAACGGAGGCGCACATTATGAAATAAATACAGTATAATTCATTAAATGCTCTTCAGCTACGGTTCGAATTGTGACGGTCATATACCTCCTTCAAGGTCCGGGGCTACGTGAGAGGCTGAACTCTATCGCAGTTGATAAAAGAAGTGCATCATCAGATAAAACGCCAATCCACAAACTGGACAAACACATACAGTCCGGAAACGTGTCAATAAAATGCACAGAACAAATGTGCACTGCAACAGAATATTGTGTCATTGCAGAGAGATAACAAAATAGCATCGGGTCCTATGGTTATTTGCAATTTTTTTTCGGGTTAAAATACACAAATTCACATCTTTGATATCGGACCTGTTTTTATCTCTGATTATTTGATGACCAGAGAGACACACGGATCTCATTCGCTTAGCTTTGAGGATTGTTAGGCTTCGCATGTGCGCTAAGTAAAGTTTAATATGTTTAATATGAAAAATAATACATAATTCATCAAGTACAACTGGCTGGTGAATGAGTTATCCTTATATTGATTCACACATAACCCAGTTTAAAAGTCTTAAATGTTTATACTAATTCACTTAGAGGATGTTTTTTTCCCTTTTACATCCTGATTGCCAATAATTCAGAATTCATTTGCGAAACCCCAAATAGTATCACAAACTATCATATGCCTGATGTTAATAAGAAGTATAAGCCTTGTATTTGATATAACGCCTTATCACATCGTTGAGACGTCTCAAAGTTCTTCACAGGATATATTGTAAAGTGGCTTGACTGTATTTCGTGGGCGAAATGCGGTATCCAATTCCGTATATTAAGCACAGAACTACCAAACAAGTATTTTTTTAAACTGCTAACATGGTTAGTAGAGCAAACAAGCAATCTTATGTTTATTTATTTCTGCAATTTTGGATGAACTAACAATTTCAAAAGAAATGTCCAATGAGTGACACTCAGCCACATACCCAGACACTACATTCCATTGTCCGTACATAGAATGAAATATTTTGTTGACATGTATACTGCATCTATTAGAGCATTGCTGAAGACTGCCCCGAATATATAAGACAATTTTAATATAGAAATAGGTGCAATCCTCATCTTTTCACTTTTGTAAAAAAGTAAAAGCTTTTGGTCGAAGTTGGATTTTGACAGCAGCAGCGTAGGATGACTTTGCATATTTATTCTGAGTTTATCTTTGTCAGCCTTCTGGATAACTCATTATCAGGGCATGGTAGGGGAGTGTGCCAGAGGCTTGGACGTGTTTGCAAAACATTTGTCAGCTCAGTTTGGTTTTAGATTCCTAGAAACGAGTTGCAAGTGCTAGGAAGCTAACTCCGTGAAAGTATCGCATCTGCTATTACGATTCAAAGTATTTCAGAAAAAGAGTGACAGATATATTGTATAAAATGTACTGATAAGCTTGGATGTGACATGTTGAAGCAGTTATTTAATTGAAATGATAATCATAGAATGTTAGGAAATAATTAGTCATTAATTGCCTGCAGCCTCAAACTGAAGATCAGAATAATTTCTTCCCAGGAGAATAATGAATTTTATATGTGGAATATAAAACTGGTTAATACTATGTTCTGTTAATAATACTATATTACTTTTACCAATGATTTGGATGAATATCACATTATAATTAAAGGATTATATTGGAATAATTTCAGACACAGAATAATCAAATATTTATGAGTAAGATGGACCAAATGAGTATGTTGTTATTATGTTATTATCTAGACAATAATTTCACCACCTGTAAGTTGCATTATTGTATTTCTCCTTCCCTCATTTGCCATTCATTACCCCTCCTGTAGCTTTTTTGCTACACTGTGCACGCTGAGTGTTTTTCAATTTTTGCATTGTTTACTTCTCCAGTTATGATGATGTAAAATATTCATAGAAGTTCTACTTAGAAGTTGTTTTTTGTTCTGTATTGAGTCGTCTTCAGCATTGGATTGATGGCTTAGAATTCCTGTTGATCCAAGAGAATGCCTAGTGAATTGGTGTCAGGTAAAACCAGTGGTTTTGGGTCAAAGTGAATTGGTGTCAGGTAAAAACCTTGGGTTGTCATCTTAACATGAAAATAATAATAATAATAATCCTTGCATTTGATATAGCGCTTTTCACGTCGGGAGGACGTCCCAAAGCGCTTCACAGAACACACTGTAAAGTGAATTGACTGTATATTTGTGGGCGAACGCGGCAGCCAATTGCGCACAGCAATGTCCCACAAACAGTCGTAGATTGAAAATGACCAATTTAATTATTGTTTTTAGTTTTGGAGGGATTATTATTAGGCTCTGTGTGGAGTAAGGAAACTTGCCCAAGGTTTCGCCCTCTGCCTGGAATTGAACTCAGGTCTCTCACTTGCAAAGCGAGTGCTCTAACCACTGAGCTACAGGACTCCACTGTAAAAGTGATTTTATAAACATAAATTAGTTGTTGTTTATCGGAAAGATTTCAATTGAAGTAATTTAAATTAATTATTAATTATTCCTGTTAGGAAACTCTGCAAATTGGACTTGTTTCAGTTGTTTCTAAATGTAGGCCACATTTTCTTCTCGTTACAAAAATTGTTCAGACTCGTTCTTGTGAATTGATTTCTTCTGGGTTGGTGGCATTCCAAAAAGATTGCATAAAAGAATTATGAAACATTGGTTCTGGATAACTCTTCGCTTGTTGGGGGTCACATGAAATGCTGCAAAAATGATGGTTGTACAGGAACAAATTGCAGTAAAATAATCCCCACGCACCCCACCCCAGATAACTAATGCCACTCACAACAATTTATTGTATAAAAAAAGAGCAGATTGATTCTACAGATGACAACAAAAAACAACAGATCTCAAGTCAGCATTGGTAAACTCTCAAAACCATAGTTGGTTTCAACACCATTTAATATGATGGAATTTGTAGGTTCACAATGAGTCACAGTAAGGAGGATATTCATAGCAAACAATGTCTATACCTATTATAAGTTTTGCCCACAAAATATATACAATCAATTCACTTTACAACACACGCTGTGAAGCACTTTGAAACATCTCAAAGATGTGACAAGGGGCTATATCAAATGTAAGGATTATTATTATTATTATTATGGGAGGACCTCAAGAAGATATTTGGAGAAGAAATATACAAAAAAGTAGCAATTTACAAGACAAGGAAAGCTCACTGTGATCAACCTTACCAATTCCATGGAATTAAAATGGTACAGACTGTTGGACGATTGTAGGGCTATTGAATTAGGTTGTTTCAGGGTAAGGATGTTTTAGATTGGAAGAACAGAAGCAATTACAGCTGGTGATATTGCAATACTTTTTCAATAGTGCATGTAACATAAAATTTATATTTTAAAATGAACCAAATTATGAAAGTGATGAAATGAATACACATTCACAGAGATGCACTGATAATTTTAGGCTCCACTGACCTATTGGACTCTGTTCTGTGCAAAGCAAATGATCACAGTTAGAATCATAGATTGATATCTTGGAGTTTTTGCAGGTTTGTGTTTGAAGCCAAGGGGAGATTGTTTCTGAACGTGTTCACAACGCATGAAAAGAATTCAAAGCGCAAAAGGAAAATGAAAGAGCACGGTCTGGAGCCTAATTTCACTGCAGATTTGTTTTATTGACACATTCGTTTAACAACACAAATTATGAGGTCCCAACGGCTCAGTAATAACAACAAATTACATGTGTATCGTGCCTTTCACATCAGGAGGATGTTCTAACGCACCGGATCAGAGATTTGGACCCGAGCTGGGATTTGGGATCAGTAGGGATGGTTGACAAGTGAGGGAAGGATTAGGAAGGGTGACCGAAGTTATGGTCAAAGAGGATAGTCTTGAGATAAGTCTTGAAGGGGCCAAGGGAGGGAACAAGGCAAAGGGACTGTGGGATGGAGTTCTAAGGGTGGGGAAAGAGAGGCTGAAGGCCTGACCACCGATGGTGGGAACATGGAGCAGGCAGGACCCTGGGGCAAGTTTAATAGTTGAACCATGCAGGTCCTGACTCGAACACCGGTCAGCACTGAGTTAAATAATGTAAGTTGGGGGCGTCAATGCTGAAGCTCATATTTTACAGAATTTTGATTGCTGTACAGTGCATTAGCGGAGTGGCCTTGAAGTTTTCAAAATTTGGATATAAATCATCTGTACAAGATCCATTCCTGAATAACACTACACAGCAGTGCATTATGCAGAGCTCATGACAAAAGTTATTAATCATAAAAAAAGTCATTCGATCCATGACTGTTTGTGAGACACTGCTGCCGCGTTTCCTCCACAAAACATTCAATTTTACAATCTATTCTGTGAAACGCTTTGAGACGTCTCAACAACCCGATAAGGTGCTATATCAAATGCAAGGATTATTAATATCTGTCATATTGTTTCCATGCATATTGCCAAGCACAGTTTGAAGATATTATTTAATAAAATATAATCATATGCAAGATTGGATGAAAAAGTGGGCTTTCTTAGAAGGGTAAGGAGTTAAAAAGTGGCATTTCTGATGCATACCTGGAATAGCATTGTGTGTATATTGTGTTTGTTTTTATTTATTTATTTCTGTGACGGGGTTGGAGTGGCACAGTAATATATACGTTGGTGGGAAAGTCTTTCTGTATTGGGAAGGAGAAATGAACCAATGGTACGTTAGAACAGGAGCTTGATCTCTGTCTGAGCACTTCCAATGAAACCATTTTGGATCCTCAATTCATGTGCACCTCAATGTGGAGGATGAAGAGTTCACAATAGAGAGCCGATGCACATTCACTTTTAGCTGATTTCAAACTGCAAGAAGATAGAGTTGGACACTGCTGTAAGGCATAGCATTCAGAAGCACTTTGGATCAGATACACTTTCAAAAGTAATGTAAGGGACAGGTTTTATCTGAACTGTTCTTGAGCACAGTTGCCCTGGGGCACCGTGACATCACTGAGCACCAAGTGGACAATATTCCAGTCCCCAGCGTGGGTATGGCTCACCTTAAAAAAAAAACACTGTCTGAAGTCAGACCCATTTGAAACATTTATTAGTAAAGAGCACTTTCCACATAAGCATTCGGTGCAGATATGTCTCCGAATGGTCTTCAATTGAACTGACAAGATATTAAATACAAACCCAAACAAACAAGCAGGATATGTAAATGACATGGTGGCACTAGACAAAGTAGGCCGGACACATGGTCACCCTCAAGCTGCCTCTACAGTACAACAGGAAACATGTGATAGGTTCTGTACAGTGCATTCTCCAGAGGAGTGGCCCATCTCTTTTCCCGCCCTCTTTATTCTCATTGGATTTGGCTGCGGAGGCGAATCCTGTTCTTCGCTCAGTGAAGTCCGGCATCTCTCATTGGTCCTGCATTTGCTGTTGCATTCGCTGCAACATTTCCTGCATTCGCCGCAGCTGCAGAGAGAAAGGCCCAATAAGTTGTTGCTACACGTTGGCTATGAAATAATAGCCATACGGTTGTCTATTGGCCAATGTTCCAAGTACATGGGGCTCATGTCATGACACCTTTGAAAAAAAATCTACAAATGACAACATTAAATGGAAAATTACAACAGGAAATGAACATATATACCAACACAGCAGTGGTCATGATGGCCAAGTGCTCTAAAGGGCCAGATTCATGCAGTGGAATTCTGTCTTTTTCTAGGGATGTGGGTTGGTATCCCACTTCTGACATAAGCATCTTTAGAATAACCCATCATTAAGAGTTCTGCCGAGAGTCCTTCCTGATAAGCATAGAAATTTGTCTTTGCACTCTTTCCTGGAGGGAAAAGGCTCAGAAACTCAGGGCATACTTTGCAAGTACTGCTGGAACTAAAACCACACAGTTTGCCATTGACATCTTTGACAGGAAGCTTTCTGATGCTTGTCCATTAGGATCTTGGCTTGCCGGGGTAATAGTAGCCAAAGTCAGTAGTGACTGGTCTGCTCCTCCAAATAGTGCTGATGAGCTAGGTTCATTATCAACAGCACATTGCTAACCTGCCTGGCTCAGTACGTGGATAACCAAAACGGTCACAGAAAATTGACCCAAATCTGATATTCCACTTCAAGTTAACTGAAGAGTCCCTGGCTTACCTGCTCCCAAGGAAAATTCACATTTTCTGGGGCCAATCAGGTGAATACAGAGCAACTCCAATCAAAAGAAGCCAGGAAGATTCATAATGTACAGAGAGATTCCACGCAGCCGATGACCGCTCACCACCACGTACAGAGAGACTCCATTCAGCATGGATTACAAATGTCAGGCACTCACTCACCTCTTCATCTTTCATTTTAATCAGCTTATCCGTCTCTGCGTCTGCAGCTGGTAGTGGTAGGATAGGAAGTGGACTTTCTGCTCGGTTGTCCTGAGTCAATTTACTGTGAATTCAAAATAAATTAAATCCAACTAATTTTTTGAAAAACGTATCATTTTCTTTGGTTTAACCTCATTGACGTAAGTCTCTGTACTCCTGTTCAGGCATTTCCTTGATAAGAAGAGGGACGAGGGGCAGGAATCCTACTTGGTTTTCCCCTCCCTAACCACAGATGGGCTGCGGCTAATTTAGCCTCCTCATGCAGCCTGGCAGAGTTCAACAAACTCAGTAACCTCCTAGCCCATAAACTGCAGGTCCATCCATGACACCATCAGAACTGCAACCAGTGAATTTATTTCAGTCATTTTTTAGATTTACAAGCAACTGTTTTTCATAAGCAAATACTATATAGTATTAAGAGTATGTTGCCTGATTCAGTGTACCCTGGGCATCTGGACAGCTCCAGGTTCAGCTTTTAGAACTATTTCAGTCTGTGTTGAAAGCAGACTATCCAGAATCCACACAATCTTAGCCTGCAGGACTTATTTTGTCTTCAAATTGAAGATCGGGTAGAATTGTGGAACATTCTTAAGTTTACCCTGAATTTGGAAGGGAGTATTCAACAATTCTTCAACAGAACCAGATTGCAAATTAAGACTCCATTTAAGAATATGCACAATTCTGCATGATCTTCAATTTGAAGACCAAATGATCATGTAGGCTAAATTTATGTATAATTTCAGGCCTGAAATGTGTTACACCTTAGCCTGCACAAACCAACACCCTCTGCTCTCCCTGAGCACATCAGTACATTTTAGCTGCCTAAAAAAAGTGACAATTATATATTTTTAATTCCGCAAGCATCAGTTTTGCTTCACAAGACAACTATTTTAGCATCTAGTCACATTTTTGTGATGCAAACTAAATTCACTGATATCCTGTTTAATGAGTGCTCTGAGTAAGAGGTGGAGAACAAAACTGACCTAGTCATCTCCTGGATACATCTGGCTCTGAAATTCTCATAATGAACGTCCCAGGTCACGTCCTTTAAGTCCTGCATGTGTGTTCGGATCAGCATATTTCGCAGTTTAACAAAATCGCAGTGCGACTGGTTCTCCACTGCACAGGACAAAAAGAAAACCAACTTTGATCATCTGTTTCAAATGCACACAATGTCAAGGCATATTCATTTAGTCACTCTGTGTTAATCCCATTCATGTGTGATTGCAATTTCTCGCTTTCTCAGTTTAAATAACCTGATCCTTCAATCTTTTCACTCTCCTTGTTCTTTCTTTCTGCTAAGGGATTGCTATATTTTCTGTATTGTTGGGTTGGGACAAAGGGGCATGTTTTTGAGGATTGTACACCAGGGTGGAATAATTGTAATCTGGGGATGAAGCAATATTCTGTGTTTTTTCTTCCTTGTTTTAAGGACTGGGGAGATGGAATGGGTTGGCGAAGTTCACAGCAGCATAGGATTTTGCACGAGTCTGGAAAGAATAAACTTGATGGTTAATGGCCTTTTTTTCATTCTATGTAAAATCTATGTCTGCTATATCTATGTAAAATCATGGAATCCATGGAATATCCCCAAGAACAGTATTAGTTACACGATCTTCCCTCTTCCATTATGAAATAGACAGGAGATGTCTACCCTGTATGAGCCCGCACCACTCAATGCTGCAAGGTATTTAGTTGTACAGCTGCATTTTGCTGGATATGTTTTGTGTTAATATACTGTGGATGCACACTACAACAAATGTATACCACTTTTCACGTCGGGATGACGTCCGAAGACCCTGGACAGTCAGGGATCTGGACCCAAGCTGGGGGTTGGGATCAGGAGGGGTGGAGGGCAGGAAGGGAAGGAATGGGAGGGTGACCGAAGGCGCTTATGGGATAAGACAAGTATGGGATATTTTGTTATCATTCACTGAATAATATACTATGTACTTATTCTCTATGGAAACACTGCCTATTACTGGGAGGAACAATGTTTTGTTCATTGTCTGTAGATGCACTGCCCAATTTGGGTACATTCTCCATTGACACACCTTTGTTTATAATTGAATGACACAGTAAGTGCTTAATCTCATTAACACACACACAATTATAGGGTGGTACAGTGCTACACACAATACAGTCTTTAAATGTTACATACATACAATGGAATGTTCCCTTTTCTCTGCTTGCATATTCAGTCCCATGTTATTGTGATCTCCAGATGGTTGACCTATTCTGGAATACCATGTACTTAAAGAGTGTTTCATAGTCAAACATTCCTTCCTCTCAAGGTTTTAGATATGATCAGTGGCTGAAGTGCCCAAAACAGTCTGAAAACAACCGTCCCTTCCTCCAATGCTTTATATATGTTTAAATCCTGGAATAGTGAACAGGAAACTGAATGAACATCAAACACTTATGTTTGAATTCACTGCCTGCCATGGGAAAATTTTTTGTCTATTTCACAACTTACTTTTTTTCCCAGTAATTCTGGTTAGATATTGTGCCACCACTAACAAGAACAGCTATTGCTAAACTGACTTTTAATAATAAATTGATAATCTTCATGTTTCATAAAAGATCAAGTACACCTTATAACAAAGTAATTGCTATTAATAATAATTATATTAATCTTTGAGTTTGATATAGCACCTTATCACATAATTGAGATAATAATAATCCTTGCATTTGATATAGCGCTTTTCACGTCTTCTAGATGTCTCAAAGCACTTCAGAGTAGACTGTAAAGTGAATTGACTGTATATTTGTGGACGAAACGAGGCAGCCAATTGTACACAGCAGTGTCCCACAAACAGTCGTGGATTGAAAATGACCAATTTATTATTGTTTTGTTTTAGAGGGATTATTATTAGGTGTGTGGAGTAAGGAAACTTGTCCAAGGTTTCGCCCTGCCTGGAATTGAACCCAGGTGTCTCACTTGCAAGGCGAGCGCTCTAACCACTGAGCTACAGGACTTTGAAATGTCTCAAAGCTCTTCACAGGATATACTGTAAAGTGGATTGACTGTTAACTTTGTGGATGAAACACGGTAGCCAGTTGCGCACAGCAATATCCCACAAAAAGCCATGGAGTGAATCAACTTTAACTGCAGTCTGATGGAAGTTGCTGCACACTTCATGTTCTGAACACTTCTGTGTGGAATGCTTTCTTTACCAGAAAAAGCTCACCTTCTACAATACCCCACGGGTACAGTCGTCCACGAACCCTCTGACCCCGTGCTTCCACTACCGTGTTACTGCCAATGACTGCAAAGGGAATGCTCTCCTGTAAATAACCAGATACAAAGAAATCTTATTGAGTGTCTCAAAACTAACCAAGGAGGCAAGACAACTGAATACAAAACCAAAAATGACTTGGGAAGAGTAGTATTGTGGTGGAGTTATTTAACGAGAAACCCGGTAATTTGCCTCACATTTCTGCTTAAAACATGGCTTATTGCACTAACTCACTCATTTCAAACTACAGTATCCAGTTTCATCACTAATCTATATCAGAGCAAGAAATAACAAGATACGTTTTGTGTTAATATGTACAGCCAACAAGCAAACTGGAGAAAGTTCTTTTCCCAATTGCACTCCAAGTGGAGGCTGGAATCTGAGTTGGAGCCAGGATTGGCTCAGTTACAATTTTAATCTGAATGAATTTCTATTTCCCTCACTCATCTTCAGCTGCCAACCTGGATCTTCTGCGAAGCTCCGATTTCATCTCTTTACTCTTTTCTTATGTTGCTTATCCTCATCTCACAATCCACATCCTTAGACATCACTCCAACTCACCTTTAGCTCCTTGTCTTGCTGTTTAAAATCATCATCCTCATCAGAGTCGCACTCTGGGAATTGATAGATCTTAATTCCGAACAGTTCAATTTCATCTCTAATCTATGTTGGTTCAGAGAGTAACAAGATATAGTTTGTGTTAATACAAAGAGTCAATGCTTAAAACACACAAGAGCACAACTGCTTGAGAAACTGTTCCTGTTCGATTTATATTGAAGGCTAGGTGTATCCTTGATCGAGACAAGTGACATTCCATACAGTCTCCACCAAGTTCAAGTTGAAGTTAAAGATCCCGTGATATCATTCAAAATGAGAATGGAGTTTTTCCTGGGGATCGATAATGATTATATACAACCATGTAAACCCCTCCCCCGCCCCACGCCCACCCACCACAGTGATTGGAAAACATAGGAATATAAAGATTGACCAAGAAAAGGAATATCTAATCAATTAATTGGCTTATACTGTAGAATAATTTACATCAAAATAATTGCAAAATGTTATTTAAAAGAAAATGTACGCAAAGTTCACACCTTACTAAGGTTTATCTCATCGCAGTGACAGCTTCCAACATACGGGAAACTGACAGGCACACAGCTTTGGATGGTAAGTCCACCTAAGTCCATATTTATTCTTTCAATGTAGCATTTCAGAGCATTCAAAATTTGTCAAATTGTTAAGTGCAATCTAACGTTTATGCAGGTTTTCTGTAAAAATTTTTTAATAAAAGTAGAGAAAATCATCTTCAAAGTCAAAATTGAATTCAACAATTGGCTAAACTTTGCACTCCGATTGCTGTGCTAGTAGAGTAAATTTAGACCTATGTGGAATTTCTACCCACTTTGCAGCATCCCCTCACATGTTACGCGCACACACACACACACACACAAAACACACACACACACAAAACACAACACGCACACACACACACACACCACACACAAAACACACCCAACATGCACACAAAACACACATGGGCACAAAACACACACAGAAAACACACACACAGTGTTGAATCATAAAGAACATCTTCAGCTTCAAATTTTAATTCTCCCTGAAGGGACAATAATGTGTCTCACCCTCTCTTTGAGTTTCTTCACCTCAATGGGTGTGAGCGAGTCAGCTTTCGCGATCACCGGCACAATGTTCACTTTCTCGTGTAGCGCCTTCATGAATTCTGTGTCGACCGGCCGCAACCTGCACCCAGAGAAAAAGAGATCCCTCACTGAAACTGACACTAAGCAGGTAATAGAGAGGCTCTTCCTTCACCTGAGCCTCACAAACAGATCAAACATTAAGATCTACATTGTGCAGATAACACAGAAACCTAAAGATCAAAGAGCAACCTTTTCTCCTTCCCTTATACAAAGAGAACTCAAAACAGACCACAAATATTTCCAACTAACCCATCCAATTAATATTTCCAACCACAATGACTTCAAGAGTGCTTTACACATGTATCAACATTGAATACAATACAATTTATATTTATACAGTATAATGCCTTTCACATCAGGAAGATGTAATAAAGTGCTAGATATCTGATAGCTCCTAACATCTGCTGCACTTCAGTGTAAATATCCAGGAGTTCACTGCATTATTCATATAGTTTTCCTCGTCAAATCTTCACAACAGTGTTGACATTGGTGTGGAATGCTGACTCTGTGTCACAAACTGAAGCGAGTTTACACTGGAGGTAACATAAAGAGTGATGCAAAACATTTACCAACCTGTAGCACATACTCCACGTACTCTGTCCTCCCCCACCCAATGGCCAGCTCATCCTCTTACCCATGTCCATACGGAGAAATGAAATACAGGCAGCAGTGAACTCGGTTGTCCTGAATGTTCTTGCGGTTTAGTCCACTCTCATCTCGGAAATATTGTTCAAACTGCTGGTCGATGTAATCTGCGATGGGTTTCCAGCTGCAAAGCACAGAGCAACTGAGATCAGGGAATTCAGTGATTGCTGGGGGGCTTCCAATTGCAGCTCAGGTACAGATGTCAACAAAGCATGGTCTTTTTTCACCCACCTCATTAAACAGTCAGTGTCTTACCAACGGTACACCCTGGAATAAGGTGCAGTATCACCGAGGCGGTATTTCAGTATTCTAAGAACTGCAGAAAACCAGCTTAAAAATTAAGGCTAAAGAATTCGACACATTTTGGACATTTGAAGAGAATAGTGTAAGTTCTGGACCCAGGTGGAATTTCGGGCTTCAGTATACAACAATAACAGTTTACATTTATGTAGCGCCATTTACACTGTATAATGTTTCAAATGTCTTAACTGTCTTAACTGATAAGAAAATAGATTCCAAGCAAGAAGTGAGAGAAGTTTAAAGATTGACAAAGGCGCAGGTGAATAGATTGTTTTTTAAGAGGTTATTGAAAGAAAAGAAGAGAGTCAGCAAGGTCAAGTAGCTTGGTGACTGAAGGCTTGTCCTTTGAATGGGGTGGAATAATTTCAATTCTGTGGCATTATTAGAGAAAATTCTACAGGTACAAATGTGAAGTTCCACTGCTGGTATACCCTGGCGACCTTTTGGATGGATACAGAACGTGGAGGTGTGTCTCTTGTCTTCCTGACATAGGGATTTTTGTTCCTGACATTTTGTTCGGCAGAATTCTGCACAGTAACTCTACCTCAGTGACATCAGCTATCTTCGTACCTCTGCATATTATTCACAGCATCCCCAAATCCCGGCGTGTCAACTATCGTCAGCTTCAGTTTAACACCTTTTTCTTCAATGTCCACTGTGTGTTTTATAATCTCCACCGTTTGATTGATCCTTTCTGTAAAACAGGCCAATAAAACGTAGCAGCACTCTCCTTCAAACCCAATCACAGTGTTCTATCTTTATTTCACAATTTTGACAAATTAGGAAAAAACATATTTATTCCATTTGCTGTAATTTAACCCACTGAGTGTAAGCAACATAATTCCTTGGCTTAGTCGGCAGAACTTTTGCCTCTGGGTCAGAAGAATCCATGACACTATTCCAAAAGGGAAGCAGTTTATCCCAGTGCCAACAATAATAACAGCAACAACTTGGATTTATACAGCGCCCTCCACGCCGGAAACTCCAGTTAATTGATGTGTTCAAATTAGCTGCTGCGTTCCTGAATTACAGTCTGGTATTGTTACACAATTAGGGAATTTCCGTATCAGTTTCTTTTGTCATCTCAAGTATTCCCTGTATTGTTGAAAGCCAATAAAATCCATGGGGGACAATGACTACAATGTCAGCCTGGCTCAATTGGTGGCCTCGGAGTCAGAAGGTTATGAGTTCAAGCCTCACGTCAGCACTTTGAATTCATATTGTTTATCCTAACATGCGAACGCACTGCTGGTGGTGTGCTGCATTGTCGGAGGTGTGGTCCTCTGGTTATGAAGTTAAACCAACATCTCATCTGCAGGTGGACATTAAAGATCCTATGGCACCATTCGGAAAGAGAAGGAGGTTTCTCACAGTGTCCTGGCCAACAATTACCCGAATATAATTGGTCATTCACTCCATGTTTGTGGGATATTGCTATGTGCAAATCGGCTGCCGTGTTCACCCACAACTAAGCATCAGTGTACAGCGTATCCTGTGAAGCACTTTGAGACATCTCACAATGTGGGATATCAAATCTAAGGATTATTATCATTATTATTTACAATAACAAATTTACTGCTACTGACTGCTTTGAAACGTCAACAATCTGATGATCTGAAGGAAAGTTATCTGTGGAGGTTCTATTTGTCATAGACTGGCATCCCGCTGTAATTCAGGAAAAAGTTCTGGTCCTTTTTGACTCCTGTTGTAAAATAGGAATAGATTTCATTCCCATTAGTAAATGAAATTAACATTTTTTTCACCTACGTGCCCAATTTCCCTATTGCTCTCTGGAATGAGCCAGTTCAAACTCCTCAGACTAGAAGCAAATACTGTAATTTTCAGCTCTTACCTTCTGCATTGAGAAGCTTCCTGTCTTTATAAAGATCTGTAAGGAAGAGACTCTTTACAAGGGTAGATTTCCCTAAGCCAGACTCCCCTGTGGAGGAAAGTGAATGTTAAGCGTATAAATACAGTTCTGTAAATGCTGTAAATCTAATCACAAAGAGTGGTATTCGGATTTACATGCAACTTACACTGCTTGCTAAAAACAGTAACCTTTTTTCCTACATCTTTTCGATGGGAACCTAACAACTCACAACAGTTGCTGCATTGAATCAACTTAGTCAGCCTGCAGGACTTAGCAGTCTGCACCCAATCATCATAAGTTACTCCTGCACTCAGATCTGTCAGCCTCACAGTCAACTACAACAACTTGCATTTATATAGCGGCCTTCACGCCAGACGGCGTCTCAGAGCGCTTGCAATCACTCTCATACCAATGCAACACCATTATTCCTGTCTTGTCTGAGATCAGCTAACACAGTTTAGACTGGGGATCAGACTAGGGAGTTTCCTGCTCTGCCAAGCTCTTCACCACTGAGCTATCAGCTATCAGTTGAGCTTCACAAATCAAAGTTCGCTTGGGATAACTGACTTTACTCCCATTCGTAACACTTCATTTTTTTTGTTTTACCAGAGGCACTGTTCACAAATATTTTCGAAATAGCAGCATTATAGTTGCCAGTATCTCACTTTCAAACCTTTTTAAAAGACCGAACCACTAGCTATATTCCACCTTTCTACGCCATCTCTGCAGCACATAAGTTCACGAAAGTTTCCAGCATAGTTCCCCTAATTTCTACGTATAAAGGACATGGAATTGGGATTTGACTAGTTAGTTACAGTGGAGAATCAATCACCAGTGGGTTATATGGCCTGCTCCTATGATGTAATTTCTATGATTTTATCCCATTACCTTAGGAGAGATTCTATTCCTGTTATATGTGTGTGACCCAATATCTCTGGGACTATGCACTGTCGTAGTGCTAGATTGAGTGTAGTCATTTTCATTTGTCACATTCCAAGCAAGCACAGAGACACCATAGCCAATTCACTTACCTGCTACCATTAATGTGAAGTCAAAGCCTTTCTTCACAGATTTGCGATGAACCTGGTTGGGTAACGTGGCAAATCCGACATATTCCTTTTCCACATCCTGAAATAAATAGTCTGTTCAAAATTGGGATAACAAAGAACCTACGTACATGGGTTTTAAACTCACAGTAATAAAAATGATTCCAGTAATAATCTTGTTTTTTGTAGAGAAAAGACTCAGAAAGGGTATGACCTAAGTCTTCAAAACACTGAAAAAAGTACTGTTGAAAGAGAAATTCCATTTGAGTTTAGATTTGCTCCATTTATGTAGCAAATAAAGGTCCTAAACTATAGAAAACTGACTTCAAAGTTAAAACTGAATTCAGCAATTTATCACAATATTGATACTTTGAAATGCTACATAAGTAAGAGTAAATCTAGACCCAGGTGGAATTTCTGACCTGTCGATGTAAACAGCTAGTCTGGTTTGTGAGCTCTGAACTAGAGCCACAAGACTTGAATATTTTCTTCCTCAGAATTCTTCATACTGATCCCAGCAGAAGCAAGCAGGGTTTGATGAAAATGCTATGATGATTAATTTGTTCAGAAAACAGTACAGACCAATGGAAATAGAATTGATGACAAGTTCCAGGGAACATGATGGTTCTTGTGCTGCCATGGAATTATGCACTGGTCCAGCTTATACAACATTTGCATTTATACAGCGACCTCCATGTGGAGTGCAACCCAGCCAGAGTTTCTACACATCGAATTACATAGAATGTTACAGCATGGATCTCGTCTGTTCAGCCCAATTAGTCCTTGCTGGCATTTTTACTCCACATGAACCTCCACCCCTCCGAATCCTCTCTTCTATAGCCCTCTCCCTCAGGAATGCATCAAGTTTCCTCTTAAATACATTGATGCTTTTTACTTCATCTAAGGTTTGAGTCAGCCAGTTCCACATCGGTATTTCTCATGAACTCACAACAGGGAACAGCGGAGAACCCAGTTTATTCCATCAATGAGAAAAACCTGACAACTAACCATTGGAATAAACTCTATAGGCACTCTAGGTCACAATAAAATGATTTTTCAAAATTAAAATGAACAGTTCAGGTTTTTACAGGGGTAGACGTGTGGGTATGTTTGCAGAATTTTAGGAGAGTTTGACGGATATTATTCAATGCACGAGGAGCTCCTGACCCTAAGCAAAGACTATGCCTTTCCCCCCTAGGAATGGAGAATACACTGAAGAACCAATCACTGCAGTGAAAACCTCAGACACCCCCCGAGCAACCTCCAATATTGCTACACTGGCATCAGTCTCGTCCTCGGTCTCCAGTCTGCCCTCTGAGAGGCACTCCACACAAGCAAGGGCGAGTTGGAGAAAGGCCAGAGAAATTTCAGAAACACAAACGATGTCTAGCTTTTGTCTGGTGAGGGGGAAATCTTTTCTCCTAAATTTACAATCAATTAAACAAAAATCTATCACAGTGATTTCCTGCAGACAGTTTCTTGCTTTGCACACAAGGCACTGGTTTTACTCCAGAATCAGACAACAACTGAAAAGAAGAAGTTGAAAGTATTCAGTGAAACCAACAGTTTGTGATATTATGTAATATTTTTAAAAAGCTAATTGCACCTTTTGCATTAAATTAAAGTTGCTGCTTATTTTAAAGGTTACTGTAACAGTGCAGTGTGTGAACTCAGTGATCTTTTACCTTTGGTACCTGGGTTCCATGTCTCTTTTGGTCACCTGGTGTCTGATACATGTAGAAACCCATCATCTTGCTTAAGAGTATCCAAACAAGACTGAGTTCCACATACATTTATTTACACATGAACATTTTACTGAGTCTGGAATGGAAATGTGCGCTCTCTCCCTGGAGGGGTGCAACGTGCTTATCTAATTCTGGAGAGTATTAGGCATAGGTTGGCAAGAGCCAAGTCTTGGGAACCCCAGAGTCTGCTTTACGTACTGCTGGAGGTCAACCAGCTAAAACCTCAGTTTGTCCTTGAGAGCACTGTCCAGAAAGATTCCTGCTGATTCTCTAGCTAGGACCACACTACCTGTTACCGCTGTAGTTGGTTTGAAGGATTAACAAGATTTAAGTGGGAGGAACTGCTGCTTCCAGGTGAGATAAAGATCCCTCTGCACTGAGTATATGGAAGCCATTTGACTTGAGTTTGGGAAAAAGTCTCAATCTAATTTATGTGTCCATTGTTAGACAGTAGCCATGAACAAATTGAAAGTAAATTGGCAAAGAAATGACAAAGATAGCTGGTTTTGGGATTGTGAATGTTACAAACTCTAGTTAAGGTACAACAATGGGCTCTGAAAGAAGGAAATTATTCTGCTTCTGATCATGCTTTTGCTAATCTGAGATACAACACCAACAACTTGCATTTACACAGTGCACCTTACACAGGGTAGCGTCCCAGAGTGCTTTCTGCATTTTGGGAGATAAAGGGTTTTTTACACTAAAAGAAAGTAATGATTGTACTGTATTACCTAACTTGGAAAAATGTTCTACTGTTACAAGGTAACATAGAAGGCCAAATTCACCACAAAGGAATCCTGGGGGAATGACCTCTCTGTGGAGGGGACAATGGAGGCGAACATATTCCATTTCATTGCAGAGTACAATGTTCATCTGATGGCATGCTCGGAAATCTCAAAACACCCCGGGAGAGAGACAAAAGGAACTTATGATGGACAGTAAGACAAGATAAACTATTAGTATGAATTGGAAGTACTGCACAAGTTTCAGCTTTCCATTCCTAATAAAAGAAAACAATTAAATTGGATCAATTATATTCCGCTAAAAGTCACTTCAAACTGTACAGGAGTTTCTCGAGTGAATAATGACTCCAGAAAACTTGTCAGGTAAAGGAGCCAGAGGTTCGATTTACTTGCCAAAAACCTGCCACTATCAATATGACACACTCCAGGAGCCTGTAAACCAAGCAAGCCTGCACTGCCTGCCTCTCTCTCTTTCTCTCCCATTACTGCCACTCCCTTCAGGAACCAGAGTATCTGTGCTTTACAGCAATCAGATTAGGGTTATTATTGTATGAATAAAGATGTAATTAGTTAATCAGACAAATGGACTGAAATGGCAACACATGGACAAATGGCAAGCTTTGGACAGACCGTCCAGTAAATCATCCCGTTATAATTAACTTTTTATTGATACCCCAATATGAGGCAGTCATGCTCGAGTACTGCTCTCAGGAGTCCTCCAACACTACTCCAAAGAGTGATTGTCATGTGTCTGCAGGCACAGCTCCCCACACTGTCAGCACCAGATTCCAATCACTCCATTGCAATATAATACTTGATACAGCACCTCAACATTTTGTTCAGGCATCTAAAAGCACTTTACAAAGTCCCGACATGGGGCTTGAACTCGCAACCTTCTGACTCACAAATGACTCACACTGACTGAGTACAAACCAAGAAACTACAGAACAACAGATCGATAAAAACAATCACATCAAGAATGATTATATTAGAGCAATTTCACATGCTGGGATAAGTCTGCTTAAGATTCCCTTACTTTGTACAACAGGCAAAGGAACAAGTTTGAAACAGCACACTGCAGGATTAAGGAAGGCAGGACAGAGAAAAAACACGAGATAATAATAATAATCCTTGCAGTTGATCACACAACTGGACTGAAATGGCAACACATGGACAAATGGCAAGCTTTGCCTCATCACATCTTTGAGATGTCTCAAAGCACTTCACAGAATATAATGTGAAGTGAAGTCAAAATTGATTATATTTTGTGGGCGAAATGTGGCAGCCAACTGCACACAGCAGTGTCCCACAAACAGTCATGGATTGAGTGACCAATTTATAATTTTTAAAAAAAAAGAAATTATTACCCCGAGCAAAGCGATCCACCAATCGACTAACAATTGAGTTCTTACTCACACCAACAACAACAACAAAATTGCATTGATATAGCGCCTTTCACGTCGGGAAGACGTCCCAAGGCGCTGGACAGACAGAGTTATGGACCCGAGCAATTTACTCCTAGGTAAACAGAGGTGTGTGGAGTAAAGAAACTTGCCCAGCTTTTTGCCCTGCGAAAGATATCCCAGATTGCTAATGTTTGGCATTGTGCCTGGTCCAGGGAGCTTTCAAAACAGCAGAGGACCAACCTTCTCACACAGTCACAGCTGGACATAGACAGGAAAACAGTAATCTTCTTGATACATTTTTTGCTTCTCACAACAACATACAACAGATTATCCCTTTCACAGTAAAACACAGGTGAAGAGGGCAGAATATTTCACAGCAAGCCAGAACCAACTTGTTCTTTAAATAGGGGATTAGCCCGTTCACAACAAGAGCACAGGCAGTCAGTTCCTTACACAATGCATCAACTTCGCCCACAAAATATACAGTCAGTTCGCTCCACAGTATACTCCGTGAAGCGTTTTGAGACATCCCAAAGATGTGATAAGGCGCTATATCAAATGCAAGGATTATTATTATCATTATTATCAACTTTTTCAAGGTGCAACAGAATCAGCCCCACCTTAGCAGGTAAGGTTAACCCTTTCAACACCTCTTACCAACCACATGGTGAAGCAAAAGACTGAAGGATCAACAAGCCAAAAAAGCCACACACCCTTATTTGTACTGGTGACTGTGGTTCGTTTACAGCAATAGTTACAGGAAAGTAGATGTGCATGAATGAGCAGATATAGATAAATGAGTTGCCATCCCAATACTCCCTCTGATCTAAACCACTCCGGAACACGTACACATATTTGTTCTGCTCCTGATATTATGAACAACAAGACTTGGTCACAGCAATAGAATATCATTTTCATGAAATATGATGGACGCTATAAACAACAACAACTTGCATTTATAGCGCCCTTGACAGTGGCGGAGTCTGACGCTGAGCCAGGGGAGAGGGAGCCAGGAGGTGACCGTAAGCACGATCAAAAAGAAAGGGCTTTAGATGGGATTTGAAAGCGCAGAGGGATTGAGGGAGAGAGTTCCATGCCATAAACAACTCTTAATGAGTTGTACAAGATGTTGGCAGAATGTAGACTGTAGTCTGCTAATGTTTTATTTGCTGTATCTATATACAGAGC